AATAGTCATTGATGCTTTTCTTTTAAAGATATTTATTTCTAAAAATAGTACCATTATAGTCTTACTACTGTTTGTGAACCAAACTTCCATTTTGGAAATCAATTCACAGCAAGTTCTCTTGTTAGTATTTCATGAAATTTTGTTAAAATAAAACTTAAATAACAGCTGACCCTCTTTCCAGTTGGTAAATGCATCCTGGCTTACCCTTAGGGATGTGTAATTTATGTTTGGTCTTTTCACACCAGCCTACTGGATGAATGTCAGGGGAACCTGCATTGGTCCAAAAATCATAGCAACTTAAATAACCATCAAAATGAAGTCTTAGACGGTAACCACACACCTGCAAAATGGAGAGTTTGAAATCATTCATTAAGTGTCATATATTTCAAACGGACACAAAATTCAGAAAATATTCATATACTTTGTCAGGACGACCAATATATAAGAGCCAATCCTTCCATCCAAATGTTTTCATTAGGGAACAAATTTATGGATGGCATCTAATTAAGACAAAAGGGTAATGAACTAGACACTGCCTTACAGGTATCTAGAGTCTTCTGCAAAAAAAGTTACCCTTTACCCAACCTAGGAAACTGAGGTCACTTTATATATTCATTAACTGACTAGTTTACTTATTAATTCAATACATGTCAAATATTCCTTTCAGAAAACCTATGTCCTTCTTGTGCCTTGGATTCATATTCCAAGACAGCATAAGCTGAAGTACAATGCAAAACGAAAATGGGTATGGCCTTGTTTCAACTCTAACATATGTATCCAGCATACTCAATAAAGAGAATAATTTTACATGTCATGAGTTGTTAAAAAGAAAAACAAAAAGCAAAAAATGAAAAACAGAGACTAATAAAACAGTCTGAGCAAAACATCCTCTAGACATGCTGTACAAGTTTAATAGCGATAATCAATCACTATAGCAAATGAAATGTTACTTGCTGTGTTCAATGCTATTAGAAATATAGAGACCTTTTATTTAATAATATGTTTAGTAAATATTACATTTTATAAGCCATTTACTTTCATCAATGGTTCTCAGTTTATATACTTTTCATAAAATGCATGTTTTTACATAAACATACAATTCATATGCATATTATTCATACACATTTCTCATTAGTTCAGCTAAAACACGAATAATTATGTCTCTGTTAACAGGTAAAAACAACATTGTGGGATTCACAGATTGTTATCAACCTCAGGCGAAAACTATTTACCAATTAAATCAAGAGTAAATGATAGTTGATGAAGGACTTATTAGAAAATTCATCTTCAGAGAAGGAAAAAATTCATTAAGAAACATAGTTTCACCCATTAAAATCCATAATGCACTGGAACTCATTTATGATAAAAAGTGCTTAAATTTGTTATTGTCTAGAAAATTATCTTTCTGTCACTATGCAATTAGCCCAAGACAATAACACCATCTCTTACCTCAGCTACAGAAAGCACACAGAATACAGATGGATGTCGGGGATCAATGCCTTCTAATCTCATTCCAATCTGAAAACCATTTTCATGCTCTGGAAAGGACTGATCCTATGAAATTTCATGATAGAACATTAGGCACTGAGATTTCTTCACAATCCTTTATTAAAACATTTGGTGTCACTCGTATGTGAAATCTAAAACAACCAGAGGCTGGGGTGGAGAGAATGGGGAGAGGTTGGTCAAAGGGTACAGAGTTGTAGCTAGACAGGAGGAATAAATGATAAGTATTTAAGGGATGGATATGTTAATTAGCTTGATTCAATCATTCCACACTGCATACATATATCCTAACATCACTGTGTACCCCATAATTATGTGTAATTTGTCAAAAGATGAAATAAAATAAATTTTTTCAAAGATTATTCACTGTATAGTTTGGAAGTTCAATAATACAGCTAAAGATAGAAGTCTGTCCTTATATATAACTGACCCTCAAATATGGTTTGATCATTTTAATATGCTTTCAAATAGCTCATCTGTGAAGCCATATGTCCTGTGAATGTCCCATTTATTCATTTTGCCCACTTTCCTTACAGCGACTCTGCTGTTTTTAATAGAGTAAAATGTCGATTATTTCCTATAGTCTGCACATCCAGCCTATGAAATCCAGCCTATGAAACCCTGAAGCTACACAGATATTCTCCTAGTATTTTT